GGGGCACGCAGGCGCTGGGACGGCTGGACCTCAGCAGCCCAGCGTGGGATCTGCCCCCCCAGCCACGGGGACCCTGTGGGACAGCGTGGCACGGGGTGCTATTGTCCTGGGGAAGAGCTCTTTGCACCAAGGGAGGGATTTGGGGTCGTGGATGTGGGTCTTGAGGAGCCTCGCCTATGTTTCAGGGCGAGCTGCACCCAGTCGTCCCACTCGGTGGATGAGAGCCAGGGTTACCCTTCTGGCAGGGATAACTGTGCCTCTCCTTAGGGGTAACCGTGCCTCTCCTTAGGGGTAACCGTGCCTCTCCTTAGGGATAACTGTGCCTCTCCGCGCTCCTGCTCCAGAGGTGCAGTTTGGCTGGAAGCTGCGCCTGCTTTGGGCACATTCCTATTTCATCTCTGTGCCTTTCCTAGCTTCTCCCGCTGATTTCGGTGAGCAGCCTGCGGACCAGGCGCTCTGTAGCCCTGGAAACGTGGTGCCTGATCCTGCAGTCGGAGCTTTGGGTAAACAAACCGATGCCGGCACGGCTGCGCCCGAACACCGGCCTGTGGGGAGCCAGCTCCAGGCTGCCTTCATCTGCGGCATGTCGAGCGCTCAGCCCCTCTGCCCCGATCCAGGCGCGAGCGGCACGATCTGCTGGGAAGCTGAGCCCCAGCCGCTGGCCAGCAGCAGGGGAAGGGGCTGCAAGGCGACCGGTTCATCCGTCCTCCAAAGCCCATTTATCCGGCGCGGCTGCTGTGCCACCCGAGGACACTCCAGGCCACAGCAGCTTTGGCATGAATTTTCAGTCGAAGCCCTGCTGGGTTTATTTTAACTCTTTTGATTCTCCCGGAAAAGGCTTGGGACTGAGATGTCTCTCCGGGGCTTTGCTGTGTTGTTTTACCTCTCTTACCACGCGCGTCTCTGTTATTTAATCTCCTTGCTTAGGCGGCACCGGCTGTGCCTGGTTAAGATGAGCCTCCCAACAGAAGGAGCGGGTTTTCCGCAGCCCGACAGGCGCTCCCGGGTGGGTCGCCGACCCCCAGCTGGGCCTGGGGAAGGCAGGACTGAAGCTCGGTGCTCACTGTGTGTCCGGCACCAGGGACGTGTCCTGCCGGGCATCCCGGCGCTGGGAGCGCAGCCTCCGCCTCGCACCAGCGTCACAGGGGGCAACCCCTGCTGTGAGCGAGGAGGAGATCTTGCCCGCTGCAAGTTACTCTGCGTAACGCCCCAAATATTCCGCTGTCTGTTCGCCCTGTGGCTCCGCTGTCAAAGGCATTAGTCTGGATGGACCCGGGGCAGCGGAGGAGCGGGCTTCATCTTCGCTGTAGTTTTGCAGTGTGGTTTGCATCTCTTGGGAGAACAGGATGGGCTCGTCACACCGACTCGACGCCGGAGTCAGCTCCAGTATCCGAGCCATCAGTTACAGTGAGAACGGAAGCAGGGGGACGGATGACCTTTTAAAATCATTTTTCAGCTTCATTTGGGCCTTTCACGTGAGCCGTCCCGCTGCAGCCCCTTGCTGCAGCCCCCGCAGCTCCTCACGCCCTTTCCCAGTGCGCCGACGCGTGCACAGCAAGCCCGCGCGCTCCCGAGCTGGCGCTGGGCGGGAGGGAGCCCGCG